ATTATCACACACATCCCCACATGTCACTTCCAAATTACCATATTTTAGCACATGGTATGACATGGTAAAATCAATTACCACACACAACCCCACATGCCACTTCCAAATTAGCACATTTTACCACATGGTATGACATGGTAAAATCAATTACCACACACAACCCCACTTGCCACTTCTTAAAAGCAACAATATAGCAGATGGTACGGCATGGTAACATCAAATTACCACATTATACCACATGGTATGACATTGCAAAAACACTTACCACACACAACCCCACATTGCACTTCCAAAAAAACACACTATACCACATGGTATTCAATCAGGCAAGAATAATATCCAACAAAACCAAAAAAAAATACGAAAGAACAAAATAGGTTCAACAACTCAACCAGGTTCAACCGTTCATTCACATAATCCTCTATGAAACAAATTAAACAACTATCACAGCTTCAGCGTGAAACTTTCTTCAACAACCTTCGAATTCTCCTCCTCAAGCCTGCTAGTTTTTCTCTTCTTCTTTCTTACTGACCTTGCAGTCTCCGCAACTGGAATTGGTCGTTTCGAAGGCTTGAATGAATCTTTTTTAGGCTTAAACCCCTTCAATTTTCTGACTGGTACATCATCTATACCAAGATAACAAAAAGAAGACGTGCTCGTTCCAGCAGGTTCAATAATCGGTAGGACTTCACACTTTTTATCAAATCAATCATGAAGGCCATGACTGATTTATACAATTCATCATCCAACGAAACCCTATTGATCATTGATGCAGAAACAACTGACAGATTGAACATACGAGACCGGTACTTCACTAGACTATCATTAGACGGAACTTCAAAACAAAACTTCCCTCCAGTTTTTGCTGCTCTTGTCCACCGCTTCAAAATCAAACTACTAGGAATGTGCAGGAACTTCAGATTGCATGTTGTAGACCACAACATATCATATCCCTTCATTTGATGCTTACAGTCAAACCACTTGACTCCCACTAACGGCAGTAACACTTGATTTCACCATTATAAAAAACAACCTTCAACACCCTACTATCTAACCTTGTAAGGTCATCCTCCAATATGAAGAAATCAAACATTCCTACATGTCCTTCTGGTTCTATCTCTGTATTTGAAAAAAATATTATACACTAGAGATTCCTTGTACTGATTTAGGAAAAACTTGAATATCTTCGGCGTATACACATTAGCAACTTGCTTCATAATAGGACTAGTAGAAAACTGAGAATCAGCCAACCTAGATAACACATAGTACTCTTCTTGTTCTTCAACATCCCTCTTATTATCAAGCATCCTCTCAAAGTGGACAAAGAATCTAGTAGCGCTAAACTCTGACTGCAAGTAATGTCGAATATTACTATTGCAACACTCACTTAGCTGGGTACTCTTCATTCCTGCACCAAAATAACAATTCACCCAGGCTGAAGACCACTTCTTCCTGACTTTGTAAATTCCCTGTAACCAACTGTGTCCAAAGGTCCCTTCCCAGGAAAACACTTCTCAATCATCTTCTTCCAATTATACTCAAAATCAACCTCATCATTAGCATTATACATCAAATAACTAAGCTCACGAAGGAAATCAGAGTAGGGATGGCAATAAATATCCAAAATCGTGGATATCCGCCCGAATCCGACCTAATCGGGTATGGTAAAATCCGAACCCGAACAATTTTTAGTGGGTACAGATAAACCCGAACCCGAATATTTCGGGTAATGGGTGGGTATGGTTTTATCACTATCCAACCCGAATCCGCCCGATTATATATATTTATATGTATTTTGTCTCAAAATAATCATTATTTTCTCAACATATTTTATATTTAGCATACAAAAATAATATTTTCATGAAATTGTGTTGTTTGAATTGAACTTTCTTCATTCTAGTGAATTATTGTCGTATTTTTTCACTTATATTATATGAGAATAGTGCGAGTATTAAAATTTTGATAGAAATTATAAAGATAAATTATTACCCACGGTTAACCGTAGATACCCGAAATCCGAATGAGTATGGGCATGGTTTTGATTTTCTACCCGATTCTTATTTGGGTATGGGTGTGGATAAAACCCGAACTACGTTGGGTAGGGTAAGGGATATGCACTATCAATCCCCGACCCGACCCGTTGCCATCCCTAAATCCGAGTCACACACTTCTCATATTAACAACTGCATTCTGAGCAATATGCCATGTACACAGCCCATGAAAACAATATGGGAAAACAGACCTTATACCAGCAACAATTGCAGCAGCCTGATCAGTAAACATTGATGAGGGTCTCACACCTCCCATGCATTTCCAAAACTGATCGAAAAGTCATTCAAATGTTACTGTTGTTTCATCATACTCCATTGATAACCACCAAACAAAGCTACAAAAACATTAAAAAAAATGTTAGTAAAAATAACTCTACCAACACGTACCACGTGGTAGAAGGTACAAATACAATAATACCACCTAGTACCATATGGTAAAGACTTCTAAGAACAAAACACCAATCCATACCAACCCATACCATATGATACCGACTTCTAACAAAGCAAACACCACCTCATATAACCATGATACAAAGTGATAAAAATAATCATACAAACTCACAAAGTCAATAATAAACAACAATCTAGAAAAACATACCTAGTAGTCGATACTTTTTGTTAGTCCAGTAAGTAGTATCAAAACTAATTGAATCACCAAAATAATGATTATCCATCCGCATCTTCCCATCTACCCAAAAAAGTACCAACAATGTTCTCTTCAACATCAACCTACACCTCATGAAAGAACCCAGGATCCAGCTGTGTTTGACGTCTAAAGTATGCAAGTAATGCAGTCGCATCACCATACTCCATTGATAACGTCTTCACAGTTCGCAGATGGTTCTTCAAATCATTCTTTGTAAACCCAACAAAATTGCGACCACCACCCGTCCTACTAATTGCATTATACGAAGAAATTATACGATGAAGTCACACCAATACCAGCAACATCATTCACCTCTGCCAACATCTTGTACACAGGAGCCATTTGTTTGCTAGATCTCACATAGTGACGCAGAGACTCAGGAATCATGTCATGGTTGTGCACATTATACCAACGATAAATTTTGTAGCATTTCAACTCTTTAAACCACCTCATTTGTATATAAGCACCATTACATCCACCCATGAGTTCTGAAACATTACGAACACAAACCTTCGTATCAACAAGACCTACATTTTCATTCCCGCTACCTTTTCTCCAACCTTCCTTATTGCAACAATACTTGATATAATAAACAGATGAAGAACCACTATTGAGCTTCAGACATGCTGATTGGTTATAAATCCTCACACCAAAACCTTCATGATTCCCGTAATCCACATAGAAATTATATGCATCATCTGGTGTATTGAACTGTAAGTCCTTCCAAGAATCACGAACAGTAGGATATATACCATTGAAACCTACAAACATTAGAAAGCAACATATTAAATATTTACAAATATAATACCATCATGGTATAATAAGGTAAAGTGTATTCCATTCACAAAAACCAACATGGTATACTGTTTTACACCAATTACAACAACAAACTATTTCTGAAAAAACATAACTATACTATTACGACAAAATACCAGTAATTACCATCATGGTATGATATGGTCAAATGAATTCCACACCACAACAGAATCACATCTCAGCATATACCAGTAATTACCACCATGGTAAGATATGATAAAATTAATTCCACACCACAAAAGTATCACATCTCAACATATACCAATAATTACAGCCATGGTACAAGAATTACCACCATGGTATGATGTGGTAAAATGAATTCCACGCCACAACGGAATCACATCTCAGCACAATAGTATCACAACACAACACTATCGTATCACCTCTTAGCATATACCAGTAATTACCAACATGTAGCATATGGTATCTAACACATTCAAACTTCAATTAACAAACAAATTTGTATATCTTACTTCTTGATACATCAAAGTTATATGAATGACCAAATCTAACATCGCTAGATGAAAAACTAGTTCCAACAATGCTAGATGAAGAACCAGATCCTACAACGCTAGATAAAGAAACATATCTATCGAATGGAACAACCTCGCCACAATTTACATAACTAATTTCACCAGAATCCTGCAAAAGCACCAAAACACAAAGAACATGAACTTAAACCAAACAATAAAAATCATGTACAGGTTCGATTAGCTAAACATAAACACAAAGAAAATCACACAGAGAAGAATCTAGAAAACCTACAAATAAACACAAAATCTCAATGTAACTAGCAATTATCGCAATGAAAACCTACAACGAAACCAAAGATCGACAGAACGCTCAACGAAACCAAAGATCGACAGAAGGCTCAACGAATCACGCCAGGTTAAAGTTAACGACATAACAGGAAGAATCAGAACAACTAATACCTAACCGGAGATAAACTCGCCGTCGATTTAGGTAATCCACCTAAGTTTTCGCTGTCGAACAATTATGGTGAATAGCTCGGTCCCCTGTTTCTAAGCTGCTACTCGCACTTTCTCTCTCCAAAAACACAATCTTAGCTCACACAAAAGATTCGCAACAGATAAAGAGGGAAAATAATTAATTCAAATAACGAACAAAAATGTCCCTGATCATCCCCGTATCAATTGTAGCCACACGATGAATTCGCCCAGATCAACGGCTGCTAAGTGGTTACTGACGGGTGAGTAACATACGGTTACTCACCCTATCCTAAGCCGTTTGGGAGAGACTGAATGATAAAATCTGTGGAGTTTTTGTTAACTAAAAAATTTAAGCGATGACGATCGGACAAAAGATTGTTAACCGTGAAGGTTATATCTGCTATTAGCATATGTGGGGATAATTGTATGGTTGGCCACTGAGTTTATAAAAACGTTCATGTTTGGTCACTCCAAATATTTAAATCCATTAACGGTCACTCGAACTAGTAAAACGGTCCACGTTTAGTCATTCTCAGTTAGTCTCCGTCAATTTTCTTTAACACCATCAATCAATTGCTGACATGGCTAACAGAAGTGTGAACTAATCCAATTTTAACCCTCCATATTACCAAACCCGACCCGCCACATTGATGAACATATTCCCGGAGAGTGGTCGAGGAATTGGAGGTTGCGGAAGGAGCGAATCGATTTGGGGACCTGGCCGACGAGAAATTGTTGGAGAGGGAGAGCGTTTCAAGATTGGGGAAATGCTTCAAGAAATTCAGATCCCCAGACAATTTGTTGGAGGCGAGATTCAGAACACGTAGTCGGAGGAGGAACGGAACGCCGGGGGACCTGAACTTTGCCCGCGAATCGGTTGTTGGCGAGGTTGAGCATCTCGAGCTTGTTCGGATTTTGTCAACGAGGCGGTTGTCGGGGAGGGAGAGCTCTTTGAGCTCCGTCAGCCGGTCGATTGTCGGGGAGTGACTGGGATTTGAAGACCAGCCTGGTGATTCAAAGCTCGTAGGAGTGGTCGTCGGCGGCAGGAGAGATGCAACGCTCGCAGAAGAGGCCATGGAAGTTGCAGGGGGAGACGGAGGTGTTGCGTTGTTGAGCATTGATTCCCAAGTCTCGGCCAATGACGGAGATGGCGCGGAGGTAGGAGCGGTTGAGATGGAGCTGTGCATTAACGACTAGGATGACGGAGGATCAGAAGTGAACGAGGAGGAGTTGTTTGTGGGAAGAACCATTTGGTTGTGGGAGGGAACGGGGAATTGGGGGATGGAGGGATTTTTAGGGTTCGATTTTGGCTGGAGAGGATTGGAATTAATGATTGGCAATGGGTTCTCTGCGGCAATGAGATGAGAATGGCGATGGATGAGGGAGGATGTAATTTTTGGAGGCAGTGAGCGATTGTCTGGCGACGGCGGTGGTTTTGGAGGCGGAGGATTGGGTCAAGATTGCGAAGGGTTGGGTTGGAGAGATGATGTGGCGGGTCGGGTTTGGTGATGTGGCGGGTTAAAACTGGTGAGTCAGCACTTCTGTTAGTCACGTTAGCAATTGATTGACGGTGTTAACGAAAACTGACGGAGACTAACGGAGAGTGACTAATCTTGAACCATTTAACTAATTCGAGTGACCACCAATGGATTTAAATATTTCGAGTGACCAAAACATGATTTTTTTATCCGTTTCTCAATTCCGGTTCTCGTGTTTGAATTGCACTTAAATTAATTGGTTTAGTTCTACTTGTAATCGTGTTAGATTTTATCCGACTGTTGGTCGCCACTTTAGCTAATCAGATTTGGTTCGACCCGACCAAACCGACTCTCATCCTTTGCATTGCTGTTAGCTTAAGCACTATCATTTCACTATTTTCAGTTTGGGGATTTCAACGGAACTTGAATTGCCTAAATAGCTAATAAAACATACTACATAGCTTAACGATCCTAAAGTTTGGCCACTTGATCCAATTTAGTTAGTAGTCACAATACGAGTTCAACTCGATCTGAAAGTACATTTTTCATCTATCTATCTATCTATACATAATATTATGGCAATTCAAAATTAATTTTTTGCCACATAAGCACTTGGAGAGATCTCAAGTTGCTAAGGTGAACAATTTTTTTACCAAAAAATAATTATTGACCTATTTATGGAGTTGTCCTTCTCTATTCATTTAATATTTAATTCTCTTTTATCCAATAATTATTTTGCTTTTGTTTTTGCATTATATCTATAAATAATATATGGAGAGAAAGGTTATCAAACCAGTTTAGCAAGTGGAATGGTTTTACCAGTGGTACAACCGGTTTGTGTCATTTCATGCCGGTTAATATAATATGTAGAAATATAAAAAATCATTCATATCAATTGAATTTAATCATATATAAACCATATTTGAAGACAATTTACGTACAATTCATATTGATATTTGAATAAAATATGATATTTCAAATAAAATTACATGTACTCATACTTAAATTCACTAAAACTACGTATTTTACTAAGAAATTTGTAAAACGATCATACCGGTCATACCGATGGTGTCATGTCGATTTCATGAGCGGTACCGATTGAATGGTTCAACCGGTGGCATGCCGACCGACGTGACAATCATGATGGAGAGTGACATATATCACATTTTGGTTTTGCATTATATCGATGTACGCAACAGTATAATAATGTTCGTAGAGTGACATATATATCACACTTTTTAAACCAAAAAATATATGATTAAAGATTACTATGTAAATTTCTGCTCATTTTTACTAAAACTTAATAATAATTTATATTTTAATGAATAATTTAAACAAATACACAAAAATAATAAATATTTTATTGATAATGTCTAAAAGAAACTTGACAAAGAAATAATATTTATTTATTAATAAAACTTTTTATTCATTCTGATCAAGTGAAAACATATGAATCGCATGTGCAGTATTTATAATGTATCATAAGTTCACATTACTAATATTTTCTCTAGGTCATGTTGATTGAGCAAACTCTATTGAGATCTTACATCATATACTAAGAATTTTTTTTTAGACTTGGAATTATTTATTGATAAAGATTATAATTTGAAGTTTCCAAAATGACTTGAGTATAATAGTTGATGAACTTTGACTGAGACATGAGATCACTTGAAAAATGAAATGTGTGAAATTTAGAGAAATCTTTGTTAAGGATGTACGTTAAACATCACATTTCATGCTAAGAAAAATCTAAATTTGAAGATTGAGGTAATAAATAAACATTGATGTTCTACTTCACATATATAACAAAAAATATTTATAGTTACAATAGTGTAAACAGAGCTATTGGGTCAAAAGAAGAATATTTAATAAATATGAGTTTATTAAGAAAATTGTAACAAGTCTATATAGTTGTGAGTCTGTGATTTCATATCAAATTTTGGCAATAACAAAAAAAATTGATATCATATTCCATTCAAGGAGCTGAATTCAAACTTCAAAGGTATTAATTAGTGTTGAAAGTAAAATAAACTATATATATATATATATATATGGTAATATATATATGTTTAGATATTAACAATAAATGTGTCTACAATACATCAAATAATTTAAATACATGTGAGAAGCTAAAATGTTTGTATGAATTTTTAAATTTTGCTACAAAATATTTTGTTAAAAAATTATAAGTTAATTATTCAAGGAATACATAATTTTGAATGCACCTGAAATATCTGTCTGTCGTATACACACTTTACCAATTATTAATATAAGTAATGAAATTTTTATTCTAGAACAAACACCAAATATAAAGAAATTTTAGTGAATGGGCATTCAAATAGTTGAAAAATTATACATTGAAGGAACATGTTAAGATGAGAACCTTCGATAGTGCATATGAATCTTTGGATTCAGATTCTAAACGAACATCTAGACAAAAGGCATGGGTTGAGGGTTAGTACAAACTTAAATTATTAGCAATTGTAATAAGTTGCTATACAAAGACTTCATGAAAATCAACAATAAAAATGAGCGAGGTTTAGAGAATTTAAGCATTATAAGGGATACGATGTGTGTCAAATTTTAATTTGGATAAACATAATTTATCCAGTAATCAAGTATCTTTTTTCAATAATTTGAACTTTGATTAATTGGTTGAGAGTTCGTACAAACTCGAGAATCATGAATTGATATATGTTGTATAAGATAATAAATTTGGATTTTTCCAGAAATAGCACCTTTAAAAAAATTACAAAAATAGCACCCATTCCGTAGAAATTATAAAAATAGCACCCCTTGTGCGTTTTGCATGTAAACCGCACCCCCTGGTCCGTTTTGTCATTAACCTGCACCTTGGGGGTGCGTTTTAGCTTTCTGGACCAAAACCGCATCTTGGCCATGCGGTTTGGGGTGTGACCTAACCAAACCGCATGGCCTAGATGCGGTCTAGGCCTGACCTAGCAAAACCGCACTTAGGGGATGCGGTTTTGCTTCTCCAAAACAAACCACACCCTCTAAGTGCGGTTTTGGAAACACAAATCGCACCCCCCTCCCCCCCAATGAGGTTTGTGTGTCAATTATTTTCCGACACCAGACATGCAGCCATGCAGATTGACAGACGTGGGGCTGGAAGATGAAAACTGCACCTCTAAGGTGCGGTTTTCATTGATGATTTTGCCTATAAAAGGCAGCCCGAGAAATCTTCTTCTCTTCACACCACTCCTTCTCCCTTTTCAATTTTCTATTGTAGCTCCCTATTTCTCTAGTGTTTTTGCGGTGAACGTTAACTCGTAAGTTTATTTTGTATTACTTTTTATTGTGAATTGTGATTTGTGATTTTTATGATATTAGTTGAACTACTGTTTTTTGGCAGATGGCATTCCAAAAGTTCACGCTTGGGTTACGGTGGAATGGTTACACGGAAGAGAGTGGAAAGGGGGTCACCTACGTCGGTGCCAATTTTTAGAAAATAAAGGTCGATACCAGACTGATGCTTGAAGACCTCTATCAAATGTGTACTAACGTTACTTGCATGGATGGCACGAGAAGAGTTGATCGTATGGTGTACCGATATCCAAACAGAGAAGGCGGGTCGTTGTGGCACGAGGAATATCTCATAACCACTCATGATGAGGTAGATGCCATGCTCGAATTCTTGATGTCCAACAATCTTTCCAGAGCCGAGATGTTCGTTTACACAGAGCCGGTCGTAGGCGTTGGAGGTCATTCTGGAGACGGTCAAACATCTATTATCCATGATGGAGGTGAATTATATGGAGATCATCCCTACCAAAGTTACCATGATCCTCATTATTATTTTCAGTACCAAGAGCAAGGTGAAGGTCATCATCAATCTTAACCGTCATATGAAGAAGAAGTTCAACCAGACCATGCCAACCAACCCCAGTACAGCTTCCAATCAGGCAGTGGTAGTTTTCACAACTACCATTATGGAGCTGATGAAAGTGCCTTTCATGAGCTGGATAAGATGGAAGATGCCCTTCCAGAACCAGTCAGTAACCCCTCCGATGAAGAAGGAGAGAACAACGTCAGTGCAGACAGCTCCGGCCCTCTTGAAGGTGCTGATGATTCATGACCAGAGTCAGAGTCAGATAATGATGATGAGGTGGCTCATGACCGTGTACCAGTCCCCTACTACAATCACATTCCATACAACAATTGGATGGTAGACAACGACATGGAACCCCCCGGAGGTTCCAATATGGGGTCCACTCACTGGGTTTATGAAGGGCAAACAATTTGGCTCGAAGAAGGAGGTGCGACATGCCATTGATACTGAAGCAATGACTCGGAATTTTGAATGGCACACAACTCATTCCAACACGAAAAGGCTCATTCTCAAATGCCGTAATCATAATGAGGGATGCAATGTTAGGATTCAGGCCATCAACAGCAAGAGACACGACCATTGGGTTATATCCCGTGCGGTGAACACACACACATGTGTGTCATCCATAATATCCCAAGGCCATCGACAATTGAAATCCATGGTGGTTGCTGCGGCTATCAAGCATCTAATTGAGCAAGATCCTGACCTGAAGGTGAAAGTCATAATCGCTAACATTGCAAGTCGTTATGGTTATATGATTAACTATAATAAAGTGTGGCATGGAAAGCAGAAAGCTCTGGCCGCCGTATATGGTGATTGGGAAGAATCATATGCATTCCTTCCCAGGTTGATTTTGGCACTGGAGGCGTCTAACCCTGGCACTGTTTTCTCCCCTCGATACCAAGATGAAGAGGTAAAACCGCCAGAG